AATGAGTGCAATTGTACGGTAGTTGGAGCATTCTTTGGCACTGCCCTTCTTTAGGATTCTGACCATAGATTTTTGTATGTATTTTTCCATTGCCTAAAATAGGCCCATTTTTCAAATGCAAACTTTTTTGTTGTGTACATATTTCAGAAGTACCCATGGTTTGGGGTGGATCTCCTTCACAGAAAGAAATGTATGGGTCTCCCAGAGGCACTGTGTACCACTGCCAGCCTCAATATATGCAATGTAGGTATTTTCTCTGGGAAATACAAGACAAACACATTTCTTTGCCATTCCTCATCCCACTGCAGTTGCACTGCATGTTTCCAACCCCCACTAAATATATAAATCTGGCCTGTGCCTGTAGATGTCATATTGTTCACCTGGGACCACTTTTTTAAAAAAATTGGTCTGTATTTTCTTCATGGCATAAGCCAGCTGTTTTTAACCTTCTCTTTACCATGGACCCCTTTAAAATATATTTTGTTGCCTTGCACCACCTAGACTTAAGTCAAGATTTAAAACCCTAAAGGGCATTATCTATATTTATTTCAAGTTTCTCATGAAGGTCTAATCAAGAGATATTCCTTGCTGTTAACAGTGACATTTTTAAGAAGCTTCATTTTGCTTTGAACAGGATGCACCCTCATCAACAGCATCAGTTCAGTTAATGATCCATTCTGAGCCTCAGTCAAAATGTATTGTTACGAAATTCACTGTGATAATATTGAAAAGTCACTTTACCAAACAAGAACCAATTTTATTAGCAGAAATTGAAGAAGCACAATCACAAAGTCTGTCCAGACACTGACACTGACTGACTCCGACTCTTTCCATGGCTTCTGACTGCAGTAGCAAGGAATGTCACATGCTGTCTCTCAGCCACTCAGCGTCATTCACTTGCATGTTCTCACCGTGTACAGAAATATCAGTTATTTGCTATCAACAGTTATTTTCATAACTGATTTTTACTTTTGTTTTCGATGGAGGCGGTAAGTTAGAAAAGCCACATTTTACACAAACATGCAAGGAAATTAAGATGCTGATCAACAGTTCCTTTTCTTTCTTTCTTTCTTCCTATTTTAACTGCAAAAGATCATAAAACTCCTTCATGCCTTTGCGGACTCCCTGTGATGAGATCACGGATCCCCAGGGGTCCACAGACCACAGGTTAAGAACTTAAAGCGTAAGCTATTCTGAGGCAAGACAACTCATGTTTTGTAAAAAGCAGCTATCATGTCAATTTTCCTGTTCAGCAACTACTCAGCAATTACTCCTAGTTACAAGAGTCAATGCACAGGTCAGACAGCTTTGCCAAAAATGCTAATTTCCCTGCTGATCAAGACAGAGGGTCAGATCGTGTGCTTCCTCCTCTTACACCGTTGCCTTCCAGGAAACACTATGCTTTCAGTACTACATGCCCAAGACATCACACATGCAAACAAAACCACGTTATCTCCCAACTGACCAATTACAAAACAAAAAGAAGCCAATTTGCCAACTGCACATTGAGAAAAGTTCACATTAGAATAATAATTTTTTTTTAAACCTCAGAAAATACTGCTTTTACATGTAGAATCAGGGTCTAGTCTGCCGAGACTCACAGACCTCTTGGAACCAGCCATTAAAAGAGTTTGCAAGAAGCGGGGACCTTGTGGGGCCTGTTACAGGTGCAACAAAGACTGAACTCACTTTTGGTTTAAAGCCTGAACATAGGTCAGAAAGGCAAGATTCATGTTTGACAAATCTCATTAGCTTTCTGACATTAAAAAACAACACCAACAGATTAAATGTTTTGCACAGAGAGGCATTTTACAGCACCAAGAAAAGGGCAGGGTGGGCCGAAGACATTTAGCGATCTGTGGAAGAGTGGCAAATGGCAGATATTATCCAAGACGGGTCAAGATCTTCTGGCACCCATGGCAGAAAATTGTACCATGGCAACAACCAGAACAAAAACCCATACAACCATATAAAGTAAATATCCAATCATTTATTTCTTAAAACAAGTTTTCTGCCTGCGGGGGCAACCTCGATTTGCCCAATGGTAAGGCAAGCCCTAAGAAACAGGGCAGGGTAGGTGTTTGAGGGACAAACATAAAGCACATAATTGTAAATAACTGTAAATATAAGAAGCATGATAATTGTGTTGAGGGCCTATTTTCACTATACAGTATGGCATCTTCTATTTTCCATTGATATGATCTTCCAAATTACTTCCTAAAATACTTTAGTTAGTTTATACTAAAAATAAATATACCATTTTGCCATTTTACAGGTGAGAGAAACTACAGTGAATAATAATTGTTCAAGGTGATTCACTGAGTCCACGAGCAGAAGGAACTAAACCCAGGATCCCTGCCATTCTCCCCCCCCCCGTTTGTGTTTGTGATGTGCTGCTGTTGCATCTGATTTACTGTGACCCTAGTAGGATTTTGAAGGTAAGTGAGATCTCTTTTTAAAAAACATTTTATTAGTTTCATTCAATTCGTGCTTGTTAAACATCGTGTTACATGGGTTGCTTATAATTATTTCTTTTTTGCATCTTGTTGTTTTCTTAGTTGTCCCTTCAAAATTTATACATTTTTTAAACATTTAAACCAGTGGTGTCCAACCCTGGGTCTCCAGATGATCTTGGACTGCAATTCCCAGAAGCCTTCACCACCACCTCTGCTGGCCAGGATTTCTGGGAGTTGAAGTCCAAGAATATCTGGAGGGCCAAGGTTGGGGACCACTGGTTTAAACCATTCATGTGTGTATTTTAGTATACAATATTGGCTACTATCATAATATTGTTCTCATAGTATACAGTGTTCTTAAAATCCTCTAATAACATACTTAATAAAAGTAATTCTGGTTCCAAATTTATATAATTTTGAGGTGCTTTAACCAACAAACATATTTTATAGCATTAATAAGTGAATTCCTAACACATAATAGATGTTATCTAAGCATTTAATACAGATTTTCTTTATATAATTGTTTAGCCATTTTTATCTCCACATTTTCTATAATGTCTGTATCAATATCATATCTAATGTATGTTCACTAAGTACTATTTGTTTTACCTCATCCTTATATCTAGCTTCAATTTACCTTAAGAACCACCGTGTTACGCCTTTACCCTGATTAGTGATCCCTTATTTCAGTTTAATTCCCTTTTCTAATATATAGGATATGCCCCCTTACAATTCCAGAAGTTAGGTACTGTATACACATGCTTTCAACGTTGAAGGCCACCTCAATATTTTTTCCTTTTTCATATTTCTAAGCAACTCATTCTCTTCTCTTTTTTGTCTTTTCCCAATTCTTGTTTCTATCTCTCTAAAATTTTTGCCATGCCTTGTGCCACCTGAGAACATTTTATACATTTGATCTATCTCCAATAGATCTTCCAGGCGCTTTTTGATTAGATCTGCTGATTCCCTCCCCTTATCTTCCCTTAGCACACCTAAAACTCTCCTTGGCTCCAGGGTTAGAATGAAATCTAGGTTTTCTCCTCTAATTTCCTCCAGCCTCTCTTTTTATTGGCATACATCGTCCACCACCCTCTTATTTCCTTTTCATTATTCCATGTCTCCTATTGACTATAGTTCTTCTTTAACTGCTCCTTGAATAATTTTTCCTCTTCATTATGGAATCTCACTATTTCTAGAATTGCTTGAAGAGTAGATTTTGTTTCATCCCAAAATTGTCCTTGTTGTGGTATTATACCCCAGATGTCAAATAATTATATTCCAAGTGAACGTTATCCAGTTGCTTAAAGGAATCAGTCTAGTTCCATCAATACGTGCTTCCATAGGTCCACTTTAATGGATTGATCATCTTTAGGGTTAAGCTTGAATCCAGTCTCAGATATAGAGAGTTTTCCTCACCTAAAGGCTCAAGGTCCAGTCAAATTCACAACCCAGGATACAGTTTAGAAGTTCCAGTTTGGCTGGATTGGGCTTTCTAGGGATAATTTATCTGTAGTCTCGCGATCCTCTGGTGAGGGAGGCAAAGACAAGCGGTGCCACCAGAGCATGGCCTGGCAGTGACTTGAGCAATTTATCTGTAGTTCTGTTCTGGCCTCAAAAAGAATGGGAATTCCAAACAGCCATAAAATGTTCAAGTTCATTGATTCATAGGCTTTTTGCCAACACCTTAGATAGCTGTTTCAAGTAACATAAATAAGTTTAGTTTCCCAGAGTTGTTGCCAATGATGTTTTCAAGAGAAAGATTCTTAAGTTTATAATGAGAAAGTAATACCAAATTTCCTTCCTTGAAGTATAATTAAATGTCTGATTAATGTCCTATTTATTTTCCTTGTGTCTCCTTGCGTCTCCTTCTCTCTCCAGATTCACTGCTGCTCAATCTGTGGTGGGGGACAGAAGACACTATTTCTGCCATAGAGATTGTCTCATCCAAGGATTGTAAAGAAATACAGTTAAAAATGTTTCTCACCCAGTGGTAACACAATGTTAATTAGGCTGATTTATCACTTCTCCATTGCCGGCTGCCGAGGCCTTGCAAGCAAGCTAGTTCAGCTGCTTGTTTCTGCCTGCTGGTAGATTGGGGAGTTTCCTGGATCAAACATGTGTAACCACCATCCTCCCTGTGATAAACAGGCTTCTCCCCCATTTCACTACTCCTTTGGGATGGTTTTAACCCCCTGGGGAGGTCCCAAACATGTCAGAACTCAGCCCAGGGGACAGAGCTCTGTCCTCCTCCCGCCGTCTCATCACAGCATCAAGCCGGAACCGTAAGTGTGATATTTAAAGAGTAGTTTAAATATGCCATCCCATCCCATGGCTGAGTGGGAATTTGAACCCAAGTCTTCTGAGTTCTAGTTTGTCACTGGGTACCGTGAAGCCTATATCTCTGATATTTTTTCCTTGGAAACATTCCAAATTTGTAAGTGGGAGTTACATAGCAACATACCATAAAGAAAAATACCAAAGCCAAGGCCAATTACAAATAAAAAGTACATTATTTCCATCAACATAGGGTATGGAAATAATAAGTCTGGAAAGGTCAAGAAAACAATCTATCCAACTTAGTTTCCAGCCACAAAAGGTGATTGTTTTCAAATAATGAAAAAGCCAAAAACAGAGGACTGCCCATTTTAACCTAACAAGAGTCTTCTATTAATCTTCAAAATCATGTGGCAATTGTTTGCTCTTAAATAACAGGAAGGCACCAAAATTGTAACTATGTAAACCTGTTATTGTAACTACTGTTAGTATAGTGACTGTAGTATTTGCTAATACTACCACTAGTAATAGTGGTAATCCTAGTAACTGTGCCATCGATAGGGTTCTCCAAGAAATGCAGAACAAAACAATACACAAGAAACTTGGTAAGGATGGTGTCACACACCCCCAGTGTCCCTAGTTTGTTTCCCTCAAACTTAGGTCCACCTTTGGACACAACTTGCTTATTTCTCCTTTCACCAACTGCCACCAGTGGGTCTTTATCCACTCTTTACCAAAATAGTTGCATAGACACATGTTGTCAAATATAACTGATTATTAATTATTAATTATTTGGTTGTTGAATCAGACAGGTAGGTTCATAGATGTTTTATTATGTTGCACTCATTAAACTTGGATATTAAACATGTTTCTTTATTTGTATTACTTCACATCAATCACTGGAATAAGATCTGATGACTGTCTATCTATTTTATTATACTTTTATCCTTTAACTATTCTTTCACACATCAACCAACTACACCAACTTTCCAATCTCTCTCATAAACCTTCCAAACCTCCTCTCAATCCTTCTTTCTCAGTCCCCAACTGTCTCTCTGACTCCGCCCTCCTGTCCTCTCATAGGCTCCAGCTCGAGAGCTCCACATGACGGACAGATGGGACATGGGCATTCCACCACAGATTGATATAGCCTGGCATCCCTTTGACAGTGTCACCGTTCAAATACTGCTCCAGAGAAACCACTGCATTGTGTATCTGTTTTGGTCTCTTTTGGTCTCTTGGTCACCTGAATCTACTCATAACAAAACAAAAACTCAGAGAAAGTGCTGAAGATAACTTTGTCAAAATGTTAATCTGCCTACTTCTACATTTTTAAAGCTTTTGGCTGGTGGTTTTTGTTTAAGACCACGGAGGAGACTATAGCCATGCATCAGTATGCCTGCTGTTAGAACATTTACCTTATCTTAGGAGTAGTAAGGAATGATGAAGAGAGGAGGTAGCTGGATGCTTTCTCCGGATGTTCTACTACATTTCTATTTTTGTTGCACTGAAATGTCAACTTCCCATTTTCAGTAGTGAACACAAGTCCTGAGTATTCTTGAAAATCATGGAAGTGTCCCACCCAGAGCAGTTTGTATGTAGAAGCCTTTCTGGCATTACAGTTTCTGACAGGAAATTGGGGAGAGACTTAGTACTCTAGGTAAGGAGCATCCTCAATTAAATTGAAATACAAGCATGGAAGGTCAAAGATACAGCAACAAGATGTCCACATTATCTTTGGAACAGGCTCAGGAAACAGGTTCAGAAAGCAAGAGAAAAATGCATTTTAAAATAAAGAAATAAATAAACAGCCAATAGCAAATACATAAATAATTAAATGTAAAAGACGGACGGACAGACAGACAGACAGACAGACAGACAGACAGACAGATATGGTCCCTCGTTCTTCCTGTTCATGTCTTCTAATCTCCAGGAGCAGATTTTCAGGATAAAATATACCGTCACATTTGCTTACGTTCAGAGCTTTCTCATTAATGAAGAAACATCAGTTCCTTTAAGAAAAACATTAAATGAAACATTTTAAAAGAAAACACAAAAAATATATGTGTTTACACATAAAAAACGTACGTCAATTTATAATGAGAATTTAAGCATTCACAGCAAATGCAGTGATGATGGGTAATGTTTGGGATTTAGAGCACAAACTCTTGGCTTCAAATTTATCCTCAGAAATGTAGCTTAGTGACTAGCCATACTATTCCTCTCTTTCTAATATATCTCACAGAATTGTGAGGACAGTAACAAGGAATTAACCTAAAGTCTGTGGAGTTAGGATGGAATGGAATTGGGACTAATTTAAAAGGATAGCTTTGTATATTTGAATTATTCTATTCCACAATAAGACGACACAACATGGAAAAGCTACCTTTTGGTTTACAGTTCCCAGAATTCCTAGACTAGCATAACTACTGGCCAAACTGGCTAGGGATTCTGGGAACTGGAGTCCAGAAAGAAAATTTTCCAAGTTCTGACTTTGGTCACTCACTCACTCACTCACTCACTCACTCACTCACTCACACACACACACACACACACACACACACACACACACACAGAGAGAGAGAGACTAGCACAAAGAGACTAGCACGTGTGTGTGTGTCTCTCTCTCTCTCTATGTGTGTGTGTGAGAGAGAGAGACTGAAATTGAAATGCACATTTTAGTGTCACTTGTGACAACACATTCCCTCTTCTTCATGCACGTGTTCTCTCAATGAAGGTTATCAAAGGGTTGGAGCGTATGCATAAGCATCAAGAGAAGATGGCAGTTGCTGTAGTTCTGGGTTACACCTCCACACTCAAAATAACATTTGCAAATGACAAGCTCTCAACTGAATACCTGCTGAAACTTCCAAAAGTTAATTCTAATCAGCCAACTCATTTATTAAGAATGCAAGTTGATTGTCCCCAATTCCCAAAGTTTACTGTCCAAAAATGGTTTACATCATCAGATAATTAGATCATAACCCATATGTGAATAACCTGGTGTTAAGGAGATATCTCTGACTTGCTAAATAAAGCCACCATTTCCTTAGTATAAGCTACACTGCAACACTACATGAGGACTAGAAAATACTTCCTGAAATCTGCCTCAGAAGATAACATTTATACAGCATGCACGTTCATCATATTTTGTATACATCTTAGATAATACAGGATGGATCTGTAATAGCACCTACCATTGTTTTTACAGCTAGGGTGCTGAACACAATTTTACTTATGGAAACAAGAGCAAAGAATAGGAAGTAGTTAATTTTTTTAAAAAAAGAAAATATATACAAATGTTACATGTGTTTATTTACAATAACATTTGTAGCTGATCAAGACAGCATGATTAGCATGTCTAGAAGGCAGAAACAAAAGAAAGGGACAACTAGGATATGGAATTAAGTTTCCCTCCCCAAATGATGGAAACAAAGGTGTTTTATTATTAAAAAACAGACTCCAAAGAGCTTTGTTACATGTTTATCTGCTGATGTTCAAACTCTGACTTGGGGTCGTTTAACCTTCTAGCTAGACCAAAGACACTCATGGAGAAGATGGCTGTTACTAGTCCACCGTCCTTCCTGCTTCCATTTCTGCCTTTGAGTTTTGCTCCCTCGCTGGCAGGCTGATGAAACATCAGGCCCCAGAACAGCTGCCTGAATCTCTGTCAGCCTGCATCTGGCACCCATCTATCTTCCAATGCACTATATTCGCTTCTGAAATCATAGCAGAGCTAGCCACGTAGTTTGCACACACGCACACACACACGCCGCCAGCCACTGCAGCACAGCAGTCTTTGTCTCACCATTAGGCTTCCTCATACAATCCTGTCTATTGATTTGCCTTGTATTTTCCATTATTTTTACAGAAGCAGCTTTACAAAGAAAAGGATGCATAAGACTATATCTGGCAACCTGTGTGAGGTGGGGGGGAAGGGAATGAAGTCTCCCTCCTACAAATAAAGTCCTGTCAAGTTCTCAGAAGCTCTCATTAAATCTTGTTTTTGGCTGAAACAGAATGTTTAGGGGTTTTCCAAAGGAGACATTCTGGTGCCTGCAATGTTCAGACAGGGAGGAGAGTCTGCTATACAATCCTCAAATTGTTGTCACAGTCATTAACTAGAAGGCCAAAGTCAAAATACTCAGCAGGGCTGAAGGTTTGCTATGTACTGGCTCCAGAGGAGTATTTTTTTTAAAAAAAAATTCCATTAATGAAACAAATAAACTACTATAGCCGAAATACAAGATTAAGAAGGTTATGACCAAGGTACGCCATAACTGACAGCATGGCACAGAATCGTTCTATTAGCATCTATTCTCTATGCATGCCTTTTATTGAAAAGTGAAGTGTATTTTACATGTATCATCCGCATTCAGTAAAATGAAGCTCCCTAAAGCGTTTGAGAAAGCCATTTTCCCTCCCTCAAGATAAGAACAGCCCAGAGTGAGACTTTATACCTTGCTACCACTTGCACAGAAAGGCCATGGCACACGAATCAGGAACATAACAAAGCCTCTGGGGGAAAGAACACCAATGCATGGTTAATAGGCTTGTTATCTTGGCCACTTGTACTCCACAAAAGGGTCTCGTGTTCCCAGTTTCACAACCACTTGTAGCTTCTGTAACAATAAGGGATTCACTGCTTATCTGGTTTGGACAACAAATTCTCCCCGACGTCTAAGTGCTGGAGCACTTTTCCTTAGTCTGAATTAACATTAGAGGTGCTGTTCCTTCTTGCGACGCAGAATGTGCACTTTAAAGACATAATGCTTAGTCTTTAACCCCACAGACATACTGAACTGCAATTCTCCGACCCTCTGAGCACTGGTCATGGCAGCTGAGGCCTCTGGAACTGGTAGTCCAAAACATCTGAAGCAAAAAAGATTTTCACCCTCAATGGAGAGGTGAAAACAGATCCTGTTTCTGTCCTGTAACTGAGGGAGGTTGTAAAGTTGACTGTATTGGCTGGGAGACAGGAGGAGAGATTAAGCATTTCCACACTCCTAGGGATGAGGCAGGATGAATTCCATTGTAGACAGGTAAATTCTTCAAGATGATCTTAACAAGGGACTGCTAATCATCCTTTGTTCTGCAAACCACTCAAAAGCCCTCTGCTCTCATTTCCCTAAAACAATGCACACACCTTGGAACAATGATCTATAATGAGTCTGACAAGTTGTTGATTAATATTTGTTTATTAAACAGCTTTTTTAAAACACTGTAGTGCAATTATTTATACTAGTCGATGGCCTCTTCTGCTCACAATGGGGGGAAATGAGGTAGAGCTCATTCACTACCTTTAGGCCCTCTAAAAATTAATCTATGCTATATAAGGGCTTTCTTTATTGTAGCACAAAGCTTGGGGAAATGGAAGTGGAAAATACATTGGGAAGTGGAAAATATTGGAAATGGAGTAGATGACCCAGGTATTCTTTGGAGCCACCTTGGGAAGAGAGAGGTTAAATGAGTAAGAAGCAAAACTCTCTGTATACTTCAGGTGCTTTTTATTTTAAACTTTTAAATCTTTATTTCATTGTCGTCTCCGTTAGTGCTGTCAAATTGTCTATTTTTATTCCCTTTTTGCAGTGGCTTCCAAATGCCAAGGGAAGTTTTGTGGAAGATTGCTAAGAAACAGGGTGATATTTATTTCATGTCCTCTACATTCCACAGGTATGCACAAGTGTGCATGCACTGGTGCATTAAGCAGAGTGGCCTGTGAAGACAAATTGAGTCCGCATGTCATGCAGTTCCAGATTCTTCTAAGGAAAACCCTCTGAATAGGGTAGACTGCATGCATATGTGTTCATGTATGTATACAAGTGGAAATGTTATGCATGAATTCAGTGCTGGGGCAGAAGAAAGGGGCCTAGATCCCTGGAATGTACTGTATAGAAGATGAAACAGATAGGCATGGCTCAAGTCTTATGCGCAGCCACCTGGCCACCAGCTTTTTTACCTTTCATCAGTGAGACTAGTGTCCATTTTCTGGGCCCACTGCTAGACATAAATAAATCTATACTGTATCTCTAATTGAATGCATGCCATTAGAAATAACAAAAAAACAGAAACAAAACCCAAACAAACACACAAACACCTGAGCAGGATTAGGTTCACAGGAGACAGAGGAAAAGAACCGAGCCCCTTTTCTCTTCCGTTCTCTCCAAAGCAACTGATTTGCATTAAGAGCTAAGCTTCTTCCAACATAAGTAACAGTTTGAAGGTTGGACAATTTTATCACAGTTTTGGCGGGGGCGGGGGCGGCGGGGGGGGTGGTTTGGAGGAAATGGGCTTCATGCCCTTTCCATGTCTCCCTGTGCTCCCAGTCCTGATTTCATATACTCCCTCAGCTGTTTACTTTACTTTTTAAATATATACACCCTGGCTGTATTCAGGCAATGAACTTTATACTTAGCTTGGGCCATCTGCAGAGCAACAAAAGATCCAACAAGAAGCCTGGCTTGAACATTCAACATTGATCACGATCTCTACTATCCAGCTCTTTCCTTCTGATCTGAGAATCCACAAGGAAGATGCCAACAGCCACGGTGGTCTAAGAGGTGTGTGGACAGCTGGTCAGCAGGAACCAGACTCAGATCCAGCACCACCGTTTACACAAGCCAATTATTTTCAGCCAGCATGTTATTATCACTGTGCTCAGCCCTGGAAGAAGGGCAGAGAGAGAGAGAGGGTTTTTCTGCGAATTATCATTCTCATGTTCTTCTGAAGGTTCTTGCCCATTATGTACAGAGGTGTTCACATATTATTCGCAATGCATGTGCAGTCTCTGCACATGTGTACACAAAC